TCTCTCCTTGATCAGTTTCCATCCGTTGCTTCTTGTCCTGCCTTCAGGCGCCTTCGATAATAGCTTGATTCCCTCTTCTTTGTGGTAGCCCCTGAGATATTGGAACACTGCTATCATGTCCCCCCTCGTCCTTCTCTTCATTAAATTAGACACACCCAATTCTAGCAACCGTTCCTTATATGTTCTAGCCTCCAGTCCCCTAATCATCTTTGTTGCTCTTCTCTGCACTCTTTCTAGAGTCTCAACATCTTTTTTACATCACGGTGACCAAAACTGGATGCAGTATTCCAAGTGTGGCCTTAGTGAGGCATTGTAAAGTGGTATTAATACTTCATGTGATCTTGATTCTATCCCTCTGTTAATGCAGCCCAGCACTGTGTTGGCTTTTTTGGCAGCTGCAACACACTGCTGGCTCATATTTAAATGGTTGTCCACTAGGACTCCGAGATCCCTCTCACAATTACTACTATTGAGCAAAATACAGGGATGGCCACTGCTACGTGCTGCAGTTCTAAACCTCAAGATTGTGTGACCACATTGCTTAGCAACAGCAATCCAGGCTGCCCCAGTTGTTGTAACCCCAAGACGTGGGTCGTTAAGTGGGAAGTTGAAAGAGTCCCAGGTAAAGAGTGCGAGAGCATCCAGTTTTGATCACCACATTACAAAAAAGATGTTGAGACTTTGGAAAAAGAGCAAAGAAGGGCAACTAAGATAACTAAGAGTCTGAAGGCAAAAACATTTGAAGAACGGTTGCAGGAATTGGGTGTGGCCAGTCTAGAGGAAAGAAGGACTATACTGATAGCAGTATTTAGGGACTGCCACAAAGAAGGGGGGGTCAGCCTATTCTCCAAAGCACCAAAAGACAAGACAAGAAACAATGGGTGAGAACTAATCAGGGAGAGAAGCAACTTGGAATTAAGGAGAGACTTCCTAAGAGTGAGGACCATTAACCACTGGAACACTTTGCCTTCAGAAGTTGTGGATGCTTCATCCATGGAGGCTTTAAAGTGGGCAGCCATTTGTCTGAAATGGGATAGGGTCTCCTACTTGAGCAGGGGGTTGGACTAGAAGATCTCCAAGGTCCCTTCCAGCTCTATTCTGATTAAACTTCTGATTGAATACTGCAGGGTGTTGTGTGTAAGGGAAGGTCTGGCACAGTTGGGGGGCTGCTGCAGTGCAGCACAAGCTCAGGGAGGCCAGGGACAGGATGCAGGGCTGTGTGTGTAAGTGTGTCAGTGCTGGTGGATATAAGGGAGTGAAGGGCAAATGAGGGTGCAATACATGTGAGCCAGAAAAGACTGGGGGAGGGAGGGGAGACTTATTGAAGTGGCTTGTTACCTTCCTTGCTGGCTTCCCCATTGATTTTGCTTGTGGGAAGCAGGCAGAGAAGGCCAACAATGGCAATCACCTGATTGCAGGGTGTTGCAACCAGTGGTAGGTGCATGCTAGTTGCCAAGCACTGGAATTTTGTATGACCGCTGGGGTGCTGCAATGACTGGAACTTCGAGGGCCAGCTGTAAATTCCTTCACTAGCATTGTAACTCTGAACAGTTGCTGAACGAACAGTCTCAGCTTAAGGACTATCCATATACTCATGCACTAATTAGAACTTTTTTGAGACTTTGAGCTCCAAAGTCCTTGAGCTTCAAGATTAAGGTATAGATGTCATGGTTCCAACAGATGAAACTCTTCAAAAGAACTTTGAGGCATTGTTTACCTTAAAGAATCCTTATTTTGAGTAGCATAACATCGGCACTGCATAATCGAAACCAAAAACTGAATTCCCTTCCCCCTGGCACATAGTATCAAAGCACAATTCCCTCCTCCAATTAACAGTCATAAATCACATTCCCCAATTAGCTTGAAGCTCTCCAGCCCACCAATTCCTTATCAGCTCTGGTTACAATAACCTTGTTTCTCATGCTAGATTTAGTGTTGTTATGTCTAGCTGGACTGTCGTTCACATCCCCCCTCCCAGCATCATCTAACTCTAAAAGCAAAAGGTAAAAGATGGCTATATTTCTATCTGTTGTCAATGCAAAAATATCGGATGTTAGCAGCGTTGACAGTAGATTCCTAATGTTGCTCAACTCTTGGTAACTTTATAGACAAGACCGTGTCGTTTTCTTAGTAACAGTCCTGAGGTTGTTTCAGATGCCTGCTTTAGAGTGTTTTTTTGACAAGTCACTCATTTACAACATTTTCTAGCAAGGTTACATCACAGGGTTTGAGTGAGAATGCAGTTAATAAACAATCCGGATATGCTGTAACTGAAGAAAATGGGATTCGGAGTAGATTGAAAAATCCTGGGCAAGTCCTCTATGCTCTGTACAGATAGTCCTCGACTTACAAACACAATTGAGTCCAAAATTTCTGTTGCTAAGTGAGACATTTGTTAAGCGGGTTTTGCCCCATTTTACAAACCTTTCTTGCCTCAGTTGTTAAGTGAATGACTGCAGTTGATAAGCGAATCTGGCTTCCCCCTTTGACTTTGTTTATTGGAAGATCACAAAAGGGGATCACATGACCTTGGGACACGGTTAACGGTCATAAGTCTGAACCAGTTGCCAAGCATCTGAATGTCGATCACAGGATCACGGGGATGCTGCAAAAGTTGCAACTATGAAAAACAGTCATAAATCACTTTTTTTCAGCGCTGTTGTAAACTTTGAAGGGTCACTAAATGAACTGTTGTAAGTTTTGGACTACCCGTATATTTTTATGTGGACCAGAAGGGAAGACTTTGTCCACACAGTGCTATGCTGCATTAACAGAGGGATAGAATCAAGATCACATGAAGTGTTAATACCACTTTACAATGCCTTGGTAAGGCCACACTTGGAATACTGCATCCAATTTTGGTCACCACGATGTAAAAACGATGTTCTCTGCGCTAATTACAGGGAGTCTCCACCATACGATCACACTTCAGCCCAAAATTTCCATTGCTAAGCAAGACAGTTGCTAACTGAGTTTTGTCTTGTTTTGCAATCTTTGTTGCCACAGCTGTTAAGTGAGTCACTGTAGTTCAGTTAGTAACATGATCCTTAAGTGAATCTGGCTTTCCTATTGACTTTGCTTGTCAGAGGTTTGCAAAAGGTGATCAAAGGATTCCAAGACACTGTAACTGTCATAAATGAATTGCCAGTGGGCCAAGTGGCTGAATTTTGATCACGTGACCATGGGGATGATCCAACAGTCTCAAGGAGAAAAACAGTCATAAGGCGTTTTTTTCAGTGTCGTTGTTAACTTTAAATAGTCACTAAATGAACTGTTGTAAGTCAAGGACTGCCTGTAACAGGGCAGCTAGCTGCTTGTGCTAAATAATCTCTTTCTCTCTCCCCCTCTCTCACAGTTTCTCTGCTGAGCATTTTCATTGCAGAGTCCTAGAAAGCAACACAGCCTGCCTACCCATATCTGCAAACTATAATTTACCATTTAATGTATGACCCCAATCAATCATAGTTTGCTTGAGAAACCATCATGCAAGTTGAGTTTTGGGGTGACCACAGCCGTTCACCAACTGCATCCCTCTGCATCACACAATCACCTAGAATTATAATCTGAGTACAGGTAGTCCTGGGCCTAAAGCCACGACTGAGCCCAACATTTATGTTGCTAAGTGAGACATTCGTTAAGTGAGTCTTATTCTCATTTTACAACCTTTCAGGCCACCATTGTTTAGTGAATCCTTGCAGTTGTTACATTAGCAACACAGCTGTTAAGCGAATCTGGCTTCCCCATTGACTTTTCTTGTCAGAAGGTCGCAAAAGGGAATTGCATGACCCTGGGACACTGCGACCGTCGTAAATATGAGTCTTTTGCCAAGTCTCTGAATTTTGATCAGGTGACCACAGGGATGCTGCAAGGGTCATTAAGTGTGAAAAACGGTCATAAGTAACTTTTTTCAGTGCCGTGGTCACTTTGAACAGTCACGACATCACTAACTGTTGAAAGTCGAGGACTACCTTCATATACATAGTTGGAAGCCAGCCTGGCTATGGGTGATTTATCAGAGTCACTAATCCCCAAGGGAGTGACAGATTTTATTTTCCTGGGCTCCAAGATCACCGCAGATGGGGACTGCACCCAAGAAATTAAGACGCTTGTTCCTGGGGAGGAAAGCTATGGCAAATCTAGACAGCATACTAAAAAGTAGAGACATCACCCTACCAACAAAAGTACGTATAGTCAAGGCCATGGTTTTCCCAGTTGCAATGTATGGCTGTGAAAGTTGGACCATAAGAAAGGCTGAGCGCCAAAGAATTGAGGCCTTTGAACTATGGTGCTGGAGAAGACTCCTGCGAGTCCCCTGGACTGCAAGGCAATCAAACCAGTCAGTCCTAAAGGAGATCAACCCCGACTTCTCTTTAGAAGGCCAGATCCTGAAGTTGAAACTCAAATACTTTGGCCACCTAATGAGAAGGAAGGACTCACCGGAGAAGGGCCTAATGCTGGGAAAGATTGAGGGCAATAGAAGAACGGGACGACAGAGAATGAGGTGGCTGGATGGAGTCACTGAAGCAGTAGGCGTGAGCTTAAATGGACTCCAGAAGATGGTAGAGGCCAGGAAGGCCTGGCGGAACGTTGTCCATGGGGTCGCGATGGGTTAGGCACGACTTCGCAACTAACAACAACAAAATCCCCGATTGAAAAAAAACAAAACAAAAACCCATCCACGGGCACTTTCAGGGGACGGATCAAACTTACACCCAAAGTTCTTCTCTTTTTCGGGACCCCCAAAGGTCAAGCTGCCGCTTCCGGAATCTGCGGTAGGGAAGGGGGAGGGGGGAAGAAGCGGTGGGTGCAGGGCGATGAGAACAGCTCGGAGGCGCCGGCGCGGAGGGGGTTAAAACGGCCTGGCCGGCAGGGGGCGTGGCCGAGGCTAGCGGCAGGTGAGTATAGCCAGCAGGTGTGTGGCTCGGCGGGAGGCGGGGCGGCGGTGACGTCAGCGTAGGCGGCTCTGTGTGTGGGTGGGTGGAGGGGGGGGGGGAAGCACTGCCAAGCAACAGGTTCCAGTTCAGAATCGCCCCGTTCGGAGTCTTCTCCGCTCGCCTACCGTCACTCCCGGGCTGCGCAGGGGAGGGGGAAGCCGCCTTCTCCCGCTCCTCTCCGGCTTCGAAATGGGGGGCAAAAAGAAAGAAGACAACGAGGCTTCCAGCCAGTACGGTGAGTCCCCGCGGTGGGTCTCAGGCTGCCCCGGGGAGGCTGGGAAAAGCGGTGGGTCGAGGCTGGAGAGTCCAGTGGTTGGAGCAGACCCCAATTTCCAGCCCCTCCGAAATCGTGGGCGCTCCGTCACCGGAGGTTTTTTTTTTAAAGAAGAGACTAGACAGTCACTTGTCTGAAATGGTATAGGTTCCCCTGCTCGAGCAGGGGGCTGGACTAGAAGACCTCCAAGGTCCCTTCCAGCTCTAGCCTATTCTTTTTTTCCCTAGTCTTGAGCGCCGGGAGCGTTGTCTGGCGTTTGAGAAAGGGAGAGCAAGGGGGTTTTTGGAATTAGGAGGATTTTTGAAGGATTTTTTTTTTTTAAAGTTTGAAGTTTTTGCTGTTGGGGAAAATTGACAGCTGACGGCTGGCGTTTCGTCTTGATGCGTTTGTTTGTGCACACGCCCCGTTTTAATTCCTGGCTCTGCTCGCCAGAAACTTCAGAATTGCAACCGGAAAAGAAGAGAGAAACTGTGAATCCAGACTCGGTCTTGGCTGATATCTTTCTTATTTTTATTTCACTTAAAGCAGTTGTGCTCTGGCTATATTCTTCGCCAGGTTTTAGACAGCCGACGAATTTTAATTTTAAGAAACTTCCTACTGGTTTCTTAGTCTACTACAGTACAGGTAGTCCCCGACTTGCACCAGTTTGTTTAGTGACCTTCAATGTTACAATGGCACTGAAATAAGGGACTTACAACCATTTTTCACACCTACGACTGTTGCAGCATCATTACGTGATCAAAATTCAGAGGATTGGCAACTGGTTCATATATATGACCGTTGCTGTGTCCCAAGGTCATGTGATCATCTTTTGAGACCTTCTGACCAGGAAATTCAATGGGGAAGCCAGATTCACTTAACAGTCGGGTTATTAACTTATCAACTGCAATGATTCACTTAACAACTGAAGCAAGAAAGATCGTAAAATGGGGCAAAACTCAATAAATGTCTCATTTAAAGATGGGCTCAATTGTAAGTTGAGGACTGCCTGTTCTTTTGTACGTGTGTGTCTGTGCCTTTGAATCTGCGTTCTGGCAATTTCCTATATACATCTTTGCAGGATTTTTTTTTCTTTTTCTTTTCGTTTTTTTTTTGGCAACATTTTGGAAGTGGTGTGTGTAGGTATGGGTGTGATTACGTGTGTGTGTGTGTCTTTGAGGCAGTGTGGACTCTTGGCAAGTACCTGGATTAGTCCCTGCAGATTTTTTTGGGCAACATTTTAGAAGTGCTATGTGTTTATGTGTGTGACTTTGATTAGTGTTGATTCCTGGCAACTTCCTGGACTTTCTCTGCAGATTTTTTTGGCAAGATTTTGGAAGTAGTGTGTATGTGTACCTTTGAGCCAGTGTCACTGGCAACATCCTGGACGGATCTCTAAAGATTTCTTGGCAAGATTTTGGAAATGACACGTTTGTTCCTTTGATCAGAGTCCTGGCAACTTCCTGGAAATTTCTTGGGAAGGTTTTGGAATTGGTTTGTCCTTGCCTGCTTCCTAGGGCTGAGAGAGAGGGACTGGTCCAAGATCACCCAGCTAGCTTTGAGCCCAAGGCAGGACTAGAATTCACGATCTCCTGGTTTTTTAGCCTGTGCCTTAACCACTATACCAAACTGGCTCTCTGCATTTTGAAGTGAGAAGGCAAATGTCGTTATATTTATTTTTTGTTCCCCCTTTATTGTATATCAAACATAACTTGATTGTATATCAAACATAACTGATGAAGATTCTCAGTCATCCAGGGTACAGTTGTCTGGAAGCTGAATCATGGCAACTGGACAACATTTTTGTTTCAAATGTTTTGCAGCCAAGTATTTCAAACAAAAAAAGAAAAGTCGGTCATGGGGACCTTAACCAACTTGCTCAGATTGAAGAAACTACTTGGATAAGTAGCAAAACTTTTCAGACAAGGAAAGTTGGTTAGGGGGAACAAAACTTTAAACAAAGAAGAAAAGTCCAGTTGCCATGACTCAACTTCCAAACGTGCCTAGTGCTACTTCCTTCTATTTTCCCCACAATCACCACCCAGCGATTAATTGGGCTGAGAGAGAATGAATCACCCAAAGTCACCTAGTTGGTTTTACGTGCCTAAGGTGGGACTTGAACTCACGGTCTTCTGGTTCCAAGACCTGAACCTTTACCACTAGACCAAACTGGCTCTGCATAGCAGAACATAAGGTTGGTTTGCAGAAGGATTTTGACTTCCATCTCTGGTGCTTTCGGCATGATCCTTTCTGTCAGTCAGAATGCGTTTGATCCTTTCTGTCAGTCAGAATGAAACCTTCAGGGCTAAACTGTTTGGTGAGTTGACCCTCGTGAAAATATATCGGAATGCAAGACTCCTTTTAAGCCCAATTCATGAGGCACAGGATCAGTGTTAATCACCGAGAAGAGTTTACCTGTTATTCTTGACCATTTAGAAATTCTAGAGCAGGGGTCTTCAAACCTGGCCCTTTTATGACTTGTGGACTTCAACTCCCAGAATTCCTCAGCCAGGCACGCTGGCTGAGGAATTCTGGGAGTTGAAGTCCACAAGTCATAAAAGGGCCAGGTTTGAAGACCCCTGTTCTAGAGAACATTCATAGTTTGGGTTATAGATTTAGACAGACATTTGTCCCCCAAACTCCTAGACATTTGTCCCCCTGGTCCTAGACATTTCATTACCATACTAGATAACATCTTCAGTGGGATTTGGGGTGAAGTGCCTTGTTCGTCTATATAGGTCCTGGTGGTCAATAAGTCTTGTGATTCAACCAGTCACATCACCAACCGACCATCCAATTCTTGACTAATGTTTCTCAGCCTCAAGTCCAAGATGTATGGACTTCAACTCACATCTGAAAGTAACTGAGATCGAGAAATGCTGTTCTAACTATGAAGGGATGATCGTTGATGGTTTGTTCCTAAGCACAATTATTTGGGTTCACCCAACCCAACCCACTGAGAAAAAAACTAAAGAAATTGAATGATGTATCTTGGTAATATTATGCAATATTATGCCAGACATATCAAACTGAAGGTACATAAGGGAGGTAAAAAACTCAACATAGTGGTTGTACTTATGTGATCAAAGCCACATTCATTTTACACGCATCATGTATGTTAGGAGCAGAGCTTGAACTGTGCAGTTGCAGCCACCATCTTGACTTTTCCCCCCTCCCTCTGAAGATACCTATATCTTTTCTTCATATGAAACTTTATTAAAGTTTTTCGAAAGTAAAAAAATAAAGCTGACAGTCAAGAAGGAAAATAGAAAAGAAACCATACTTTTACCTAAAAATTCTTGAACTGAAATACATATATTAATTCAAAAAATGTTGAAGGTCAATATATACAATTTGGACCAGAGAGACTTTTCGTTAAGCTGATGGAGAAAAGTCTGGAAAAATTCCATGGTGTTTAGTTCTTAACGCAGGTTGTCCTCGACTTACAACAGTTCATTTAGTGACTGTTCAAACTTACAATGGCACTGAAAAAAATGACTGATGACTGTTTTTTGTACGACCATTGCATCATCCTCGTGGTCATGTGATCAAAATCCAGATGCTTAACAGCTGTTCATATTTATGACAGTTGCAGTATCCCGGGATCATGGGATCACGTTTTGGGACCTTCTGACAAAGTCAATGGGGAAGCCAGGTTCACTTAACCACCGTGTTACTAATTTAACTACAATGATTTGTTTAACAACTGTGGCAAGAAAGGTCATGAAATGGGGCAAAGCTCATTTAACAAATGTCTCACTTAACAACAGATGTTTTGGGCTCAGTTGTGATCTCCCTGTATGTGACAATGGGAGCAGGACTTTGATGTGCCCAACAAAGGCTTCTACAATGGAGAGATGGTTGGTAAAACTGATGGAGTCAGCTGGAATGGTGGAATTGCAGCTTGGATTAGAGAAAAGACATTGACTAAACTTAGTATCAAATGGAAGTCCAGCTTGGACTTTTTGCAAAAAAAAAAAAAAAGAGAGAGAAATGTGAAATCATAATTTATGGATTTGAATCATAGTAATATAAATTCTTTAAAAAATGAATGTACAATTGTGGAGTCAAAGTTGAACTCAAGTTTTATTTATATCTGCTAGAAGTCAAAAGTCATTTTTTCTATATTTGGGGGGGGTTGCACTTCTTTTTTTTTTGTATAGATTTTATTAGTTTTTATAGGGTTAGGGATAAGGTAGCGTCGGGGTTAGGTTGGGATTTAGGTTAGGGTTGGGGTTGGGGTTTTTCCAAATAACATTTTCAATATTTAGCAAACAGCATAATGTCTGGGTACATGTATTTAACAATAATAGATATAGTTTATTATAAACAATATGTTAATTCATCACTCAGTAGCCTTCTTCTTGCTAATATATATTCAAAATTACATATTACGTTCCTTTCTCTCTGACACTGACTAAATTTACTATCAATTGGAAGTCCCGTTTGGACTTTTTGCAAAAAAACAACAGAAAAATGTGAAATAATTTATGGATTTGAGTATTAGTAATATAAATTCTTTAAAAAATGGAATGTGCAATTGTAGAATCAAAGTTGAACTCAAGTTTTATTTATATCTGCTAGAAGTTGAAAATCATTTTTTCTATATTTTGGTTTCTTTTTTTTCTTTTTGCACTTCTATCAGATACCTATCTTTTACTGCAGTTACAGGTAGTCCCTGATTTACAACCACAACTGAGCCCAACATTTCTGTTGCTAAGCGAGGCATTCATTGTGTTTTGCGCCATTTTACGGCCTTTCTTGCCACACTTGTTAAGTGAATCACTGTAGTTCAGTTACTAACATGGTTGTTAAGTGGATCTGGCTTCCCCACTGACTTTGCTTGTTCAGAAGATTGAAAATGTTTATCACATGATGCAGGGACACTGCAACCGTCATAAGTATGAGTCAACTGCTAAGCCTCTGAATTTTAATCACGTGACCCTGGGGATGTTGCAAGGTCATAAATGTGAAAAACGACC